GGTAGCGCGTGAGCCAGGTACAGGCCCTGGTGCGGTAGGTACCGCGTGAGGTTCCTACCGGTCACACGCGTGCGGTACCTGCCGGTAACACAATTTGGTAGGCGCTGGCGCGTGGGCCAGGTACAGGCCCTGGTGCAGTGGCGCTGGCGCGTGGGCCAGGTACAGGCCCTGGTGCAGTAGGGCCGGTAACACGCTTTGGTACTGGCGCTGGCTCGTAACACGCTTTGGTACTGGCGCTGGCTCGTAACACGCTTTGGTACTGGCGCTGGCTCGTAGGCCACGACGGTTCAACTTCTAAGAGCAAACGATCAGCAGACGATGGGGACCGTCGCGAAGTGTAAAATCGCAGGGCCCAGATCGTCTGCTTACCACGGGCCGAAAATTAGCTTAGTTATATATGTAGGGAAGTGACAGCCCGAAAATTAGCTTAGTTATATATGTAGGGAAGTGACAGCAGAACAGGTATTTGATAGTCGAAGGAAAGGAGAGGGGGGGGAGGGTGAAAGAGGAACCGTAATGACCGTCAATGGATGTAGAGGTATTTCTCGATTTCTGTTGTTTGATTTTCGCCTAATATTCGAACAGATTCGATGCACCGACAGAAGGTGGACAGAATTCGCGAAATACTGGAACAGACATTGGGTAGTCGAAGAAGTGGGGGAGAGGGGCGGGAGAATGACAGAACGGCGGTAGCAAATATGGTCGATTCTTTTTATTATTATGGCCAAATATTCGGACCGATATTTTATACACCGACAGAAGGTGGAGAGCTTCTGACTCCAACCAATACATGCGGATTTCCGCAAGAAGAGGTTGGAGGGAAAAAGAGGAAATCGCAATATATGTATATGCATATATTGTTTATGATAGCCAAATACCGGAGCAGATTGGGTGGGGGGGGGCAGGAGGAAGACAAAACTGGGGAGGAGGGGCAGCAGGGAAAGTTCTCTGAATTTTTCATTTGCTTTCACGGCCAAATATTGAGACAATTTTTTTTTTTTTTTTTTTTTGGGAAGAGACAAATATTTGACACTCGGCCATAAAGTGGAGAGCTTTTCAGTTCTAGCAACCTATGTGGATCTCGGAAGACGCGGGGGAGATAACGAGTATGCATCCGCTGCGACGACTCTGGATGGACGAGGAGGCAGATTCTGACACAGATGGGTATGGAGTCGATGGAGCGATGGATAGAGATCTATAGACTCCATCCATCGGTCCATCGACTCCATTCAAGTATGCAGTCATGTACTCCATCCATCGATAGGACGATGTTATAGACTTCATGGATCGATCGGGGATCGGGTGTAACAGGGTGGAGACAGAGAGAGCAGCTCTGATTTCTCTCTGACACACATACACTCATTCGTGTCATGCTCTCGCATGCGCATGCGTCAGAGAGAGAAGACGCTGGGAGGTCGTGACACGTGGGAAATTGGTTTTCGATTGGTGCGATGTGTCCTGTCTACCTTCCCATGCTCTCTCTCTCTCTCTCTCTCTGTGCCTTCGACTTCTTCCTCCTCTTTCATCTCCATCTCTCTGTCGTCCGACCTGTCCACGTCCTCCCACTCCTCGTCAACCTTCCCTGCTCCGCCTCCTCCTCGTCCACTTTCTCCTCTTCGCTGGTCCAACGTGGCACTATGTTTAGGAAGTCAACATCCTCTCCTCGTTCTTCTGTACGTCTCCCACCACCTCTTCCTCCTGGTCGTTCTCCTCCTCATCGACCTCGGCCTTCCTTCCACCTCCACCTCGTCCTCCACCTCAGTCATCTTCGTCCCGCCATTGTCAAAGCTTTCCCGCTCCGCAGTCATCACCCTCGTCGCCCACCTTCAACTGCTGGCCCCCGTCATCCTCAAACACCCGCCGCGCGGTGGTATGACGTGGACAAGGAGGACGACAAAGTTGATGAAGATGAAAGAGGAGAGAGAAAAAGAGGTGTGTGGGATGGAAGAGGGCGCCCAATCGGGCACGCTGATGAGGTGCTGCTCGATCACATTCCCCCGAATTGAAGTGGATGCCCAAACGTAAGTAATTGGCTAATTACTGTATTAACTACGCAATCCTGACTACGCAGCCAGGTTCATAATTCACAAACAAAGCAGTTTCTAATCGCTCGATATCCTGACTAATTGTACATGGACTCCCGTATATATACGATCTAAGAGCCATCCCCTCACATCCCTATTTCTGATACTCACCTAACGTTGTGAGGTAGGAGAGAATTAAAATAGAGAACGGCTTTGCATTGTTATCACCGAAGGGAATCATGGAAAGACTAGTGGCGGAATATGTCCTAAGAGATCCCTGATCAACGTACGCTAGAGAGGAGCTTTGCTGGAGAAGCGGTCTCAACACATAAAATTTGATGAGCCATTAACAAAAAAGAATGAGCACGTCGACTTTACTTCCCATCCAACCATTTGGGAAAAGGGTTTTGATCGTCGATCAATTCATCCGATACACCCAAGGCGAGCTGGAAACAAAGCAACGGAAGCGACTGAGACAAATCTGATATCGACCGAAGCAACATTGACAGAGGATGCTTCGCTACAGTCTTCCCCCGAATACAACGTACGGTCATTATAGCTAAATATATAGACCGAAAGATACACCAAATTCAGCTATAATGGCCGTACGTTAGATACACCAAATTCAGCTATACTGACCGTACGTTGTATTCGGGGGAAGACTGTAGGGTTACTTATAGACAGACTTACTCGCATCCGAATTTCCACAAAATAAAGCATAACCATTAGCCAACGATAACAATCGAACAAGAAAACCATGAAAAAATCCTTATCACCGAAACTTTCAATCAATGGAATGGAGGACAATACACCAATAAAAGTCGAAAGTCCCTTGCCATCATGGCTTCTGGGCAGAGCGAGAGATCATCGAATAGGGGCCATTAGCTGCTGACCACGGACTTGAACTGCTACCGACTGCAGGAAACAGGTTTGATAGAACGCTGAAGGCAAGAGGAGGCCGGAAAGGGAGAAAGAGCGAGACAGATAGGAGAAGCTGGAGCTCGCCGTAACCATGGCAGAGACCAGTTCAAGATGAAATTCTGCTAAAGAGGGGGCGGCAGCCCTTGACCGCTTTTCGCCGAAGGCCACCGAGAACCACGCCTCATCAGAGACACTTTTTCATGAAGTGAAGAATAAGCTCCGTTGCATAAAATTGTAGGAACTCCAGAAACATGCACAAAGAAACACAGCAGAGAAGGGAAATACCGTCTCTCCGAGCCGCTCTACTGGAGCCTCTCTGGTTGAGATGCTCATGTCCATGGCGAGCACACTGGTGGCAACGGCCGATGATGGTCAGAGAACGTCCCACGGCGAACGCCACTCCCCTCGGTCCGATTGAAAACAGGTATCGAATTGCGGAATTGAGAGTGAGTACCGGAGTACCCAATTGAGAGAGAGTACCGGAGTACCCAATCAGGAAAAGGCAAAAGGACAAGGGAGAGGAAAAGTGGAGCGAAACATGTTCCACCTGGATCCCTCCCGAGGGAAGCGAAGAGATGCATGGACGAGACACGACCTAGGTGCAAGCCTGCGTTGGTCTGGAATTTTCGGCGAGAGCGACTCGCCATTTGCGCCGGATCGTTACCTGCTGCCAGTGGGCTACTCTAACCAGGTATCAAAAAGGGGATTACATCTGCATTTTACCCTGTTCATGGGGCCAGGTCCTTTTTATTCCTCATGGGGGGGAGGCGGGTCAGGAGCCAACGGGCCTAAACTATGAACTGCTAACCTACAGAGTTCAAATCCAAAATCAAATCCAGCGGCCCAACTCAGTTCGTAAGGCTCTCAAGTGGTCTTCAGCACGTTGTCGGTAAACTATGAACTGCTAACCTTCAGAGTTCAAATCCAAAATGAAATCCAGCGGCCCAACTCAGTTCGTAAGGCTCTCAAGTGGTCTTCAGCACGTTGTGGGTAAACTATGAACTGCTAACCTTCAGAGTTCAAATCCAAAATGAAATCCAGCGGCCCAACTCAGTTCGTAAGGCTCTCAAGTGGTCTTCAGCACGTTGTGGGTTCAATCCCCATTGGGCTCATGTACCTTCCAGGGCATATTTGGCGCCCGCCGCTTAGAGATAGACCACTGGATCCCCCTATCAGCAGTGATTCGGAGGGAAGGGGATTGCCATGGTCCCTTATGCTACCTGGCTGGTATCGCCCACCTGCAGGTTGGGAGTGGCCAGGGCCAAGGTCCCACTAGCGAAAAGGATACAGCTCCTGAATCTGGATGTGTTTTAAACCACCAGTACACCCGCACCTAAAATCCCGAAAGTACCTGCCCACTCCGCACCACTATTTTCCGAGCCTTGTGCGTGAGGGTACCTGCAGTGGGAATTTCCGAAGTGGCACTGGTGCGCCGGTGCTGGCGGTCTGCCTGAAGGGAAAAAAGAAAAGAAAAGAGAAGAAAAGAAAGAAACAAACATGCCAGAGAGCAATGATGTTGGGGGAGAGGTGGAGAAGCGTTCGGTCGGCGCTACGCGCTCCGCCGTTGCGCTACCGGTTCAGGAGAACTGGTCTTGCTAGCCACCAGCGTGGAACGCTGTCAGTGTGAATACCCTTACAAGGGTATCCGCCCTGGGTTTTGCAAGTGACAAAAAATAAGTTCGGTTTGAAGCCTAAATATACCGCGCGAGGCGCGGCTGAGTCTGGGGTTGATGTTTGACAGGATGGTTGACTAGAATCAAGAGTGTGTGGGCGCGCAGATTTGAGGCGCGCGTGATCTTTTTATTTGTTGATGATTGAAGAGCCGGCGGGATTGCCGGTCGGATTTTTACCTTTGATTAAACTAGGGTTAATTGGATGATGTCTCGGGATCAGAGCGCTTACTTGCGACTCGTGCGTACGGACGGAGGACGACATCGACGACAAGGTGGTTCTGAAAGTATTTCGATAGGTCTGCGCGTCGCGCAGTACCGGTTTAATTTTAGGTGTCCGTCAGAACTAGACCAAGACTTAGGCCTAGCACTATTGGTTAGAGCATCGGACTTTCATCAAAGGGATTCAGGGATCGAGATTGAGCAGCAACGACGCGCGATGTTAGAGTAGCTCGAGAAGACTGCCGGGTTGAGGGGCCGATGAGGTTATCCCCGTGGTTTGGCGGTCCACGGGGCTTCGCGGCAAGGCCAGGGCGGTACAAGCGAACCTCCGTGAAGGCTATTTTCTTATTATGACTACTGTTCAAACGGGGCCGGATACTAACTTGAGGAGTTGAGCGGACCTGCGCGTGTTCAGGATACCAATATAACTCCTCTACTCTTCCTGTCTTGAAAGACGCGGACCGAGGAGGTCAACATGCATGCAAGCCCGCGGGTAATTCGGTCCACGAGGCCGAAGAAGAACCTGAGCGGCGGGGCCTCTAGTGAGCGCACTGGCCACCGCCCGCTATTTGGTTGAGAGAGAGTCAGATCAGGGCGCGTGATTGGGACCCGAAAATGGTGAACTATGTTGGGCGAGGGCACCACGGCAGTGAGCGCAGGGCCCTGGCTGCTGTCCACAAAGGGGGTTTTCCATTTCTTCTGCCTTCAAAAGTTCCCTTTTTACTGTTTGATATTATCACCAAGGTCCGCGAAGGGCCCGGTTCACCAAGGCCCACGCATAGGTCATACAGCGGGCCGCGCCCTTAGTCCCGCGGCCAGCTGTCTGAGTAGGAGTTGAGCCAATGCTGGCTCGAGGTGGTGACGGGTTCCGCCGGAGTGAAGTGGGTAGGAAAGGATTGTGGCGGGACGGCAGCGGTATCTGCTGGACACACCGCTCGTCGGGCAGGTTAGAAGGGCGAAGGACTACTCGAGCCATCGGGTAGTCGGCCACTTTTGGAATATTGTCGAGATAACCTGACCAGACTGTGCTGGGCGTTGCGGGGCCGCTACCACAGGGACTGTGTTAGTGGGCAGGGGAGCAACGTCGGGGAGAGCCGAATGAATCAGGACAGGATCTGACGCCGGGTACACTCGAAGACAAGAATGAAGGGGGAGATGGGAGATGGCGGAGTGAAGGGGACATAACTTGCCCGTTCCTTAATGGAATCAGCCGGGGTAAAGACCAACTTTGGGGTTTCAGACCATGGCGACCCCGAATCCGATGTTAGTTTTAGATGAAAGTTAGTGGTATAGGAGTTAGTAGAAAAACAAGTCGCGTGGAGATGGCGATGGGCAAAAAGGAGAGGAGATGGGAGAAGGAGAGGAGAGGAGATGAGAGATGTATATCTCATTTGTTTCCGGGTAGGATCGAGTGAGGAAGGACTTGAATCATAGGTTTTGGGGGCTGGCGACCCCGAGTTCGAAGTTAGAATTAGTAAAAAATTAATAAAACAGGAGGTAGGTGAGAAAAAAAGTGCGCAAAGGAAGGATAAATAGTGGATATAGTGGCTTGTAAAAATGAAGTTTTCACTCGACTCTGTACGGAATCGAGTGAACTAAGAGGCTAAGTAAGGGTTCTGGTATACCCCGAGTTCAGTGGTGCGGTCGGTTCCTATGATGAGGACGTAGTTTTGGTGGTAGGGTGGTTTTTTGCTATGCCCGGGGAAATAAGTTTCTGTGTGGAAGCGTATTCGACCGTATTCTAGCGGAAGATTTATTCGATTTTGTCTACCTTATCGATGAAAGTAGCATGAGACCAGCCGTGGGATAGAAGACCTACCTGTTGGTTGATGCGATGCTCATCCCATCGATGCAAGTAGCCTCTCTCTAAATTTTTGTGCGCATGGCCGGACAATAGTGTATATTTCCATATTTGAGCGGTGGATACACTCGATTTCGCACATTCTGTCGATGAAAGTATCATGAGTCCGGCCGAGGGGTTGAAGAATTGCTTGACGGCAGGGGGTTGTCCGTCAGTCAATGAAAGAGGTGTGAGGTAGGCTTGAAGTAGATACGTACCTGTTGCTAGTGCGATGTGCATCCTATCGATGAAGATTGGAGTAGCATGAGGTCTGCCGTGAGGCTGGGGTCTTACCTGTTGGCCTGCGCATACCATCAGAAGGGCCAATCGACCCCACCCCTCCCAA